TTCAATTAACTTCAAGGGCCTTTTCTGGGAACATTCGTTGAGGAAACAAAGAGCTCAGAGAAGTGCTGGAACACTGTCATCAAATTGTTCTGAACGTCTATTTTTAGAAGGGTGAAGGAGAGAAGAAGCTGAAGACAATACCTCGAAGTCCCAGCGCATGGGATGGCAGCAGCAGTCACAGGCCTCTCTCAGCCCCAAGCCTGAGCCAGAGGAGGAAAGGGGCTGGTGATGATGGTGGTGGTAGTATTATTTTTCTTTTTTTTTTTTTTTAAACTTTATTTTTTTAAGAGATGAAGTTCCATTTTCACCACCCCACCCCCATGGTCAGAAAACGAGACCCACAGATAGAGCTGAAGATAATGGCAGGTTGCCATGGAAATGTGCATTTAGTCTCACTGTTTCCATGGCAACTGAAAGACATACCATTCTGTTTCTCTGAAGGATGCCAAAGGTAAATGAGCACTGATTAAAACAGGGGCACAAACTTGGGCTCTAATCAACCACAAAGACTAGGGCCATAAACTCTTATTGCTCAAGCAGGAAATATTAAGAGCAGAACAAGCGCTGGGAAGGCCAGAGGCAGGAAGCGCTGTGCACAAACTGCTCCCCAAAGGGCAAGGAATCACAGCCTTGGAGTAATGGCCCATCTTGCTGTCATTCAGCTGCCTCACCACAGCACTTCTGTCCACAGCTGGATGCTAAACCCACCCCAAGTCCATGATCTACTGAGCTGTGTCTTGGGCAGGTATCTGCACAGATCAAAGCCAAGTTGCAGTCTAATCCTGGAAGTCACGCAGAGCAAACATATTCCTCAGAACCCAGCAAGATCCAAACTGCACCACTAATCCTATACCTAGCCCCTAATGGTGTTTGGTTCAATGTTTCATCCTCTTAAAAAAAAAAAGAAAAAAAAAGGTGCATTAAAAAGACTACCCAAATGGAAGAGTTTGATACAACACAGGTGGCTGCAGTTTATTCCCACCAATGCTCAATCTTCTTGAGTCGTCGTTCTTTTTCCAGGCTGCCTGACAGTCCTATCAAACACACCATTAAGCAAGGTTATTCCTTTCTCTGCTGCCAGTCTCTCTGGCAGCTCCAGCCCATTCCAGAGGAGCGTGGTGAACGCTGGGCGAGAGCTTCAGCTGGTGTGCATGAAAATAAGCAAAGAGAACTTTAAAGCATCAGGATGGTGCACATCCTATCACATTCCCTGCTAATGAACCTGAGTGCTGTTTCCTAGCAGAGACAGTGCGTGGTTTGGTCCTCAAGCATATGTCGTAGCTGCTCATCCTGGAGATACAGCAACTGAGGAATTCAGCAAACTCCTCTCACTAGCTAACAGTGGGATTTATACCACTCTGGTATTTTTTACTTCCAGCTGCCAGTAGATGTTCAAAATGCCTGCAAGGCTGAAGACAGCCTTGATACAAAAGTATTTGCCTTCACAGTGTGGGACACAGACAAGAGAAGCCTTCTGTCACGCACTTCTGCCTTCCTGTCATTGCCTCCTCCACCGCTCAGTGATTCCTCCCCCGGGTGCTGGATTCAGGCAAGCCCTAAGGCAGTGTGGGAGAAGCAGAAAACCCAGTGGGTGTCATTTGGGGGGTAGTGGCTGCTCACCCCAAGCTGTCTTCCTGATTCACCCAACAGCTTTGTGTAGATGTACAATTCCAGGAGGGAGAGGACTGAGCTTAGTGAAGTTTTGCAGATGAAAATTTTCGAGTGTGAAGGCCAGTTGTTCCCCTAACACCCACCTTAGGCAGGCCCTCAGTCTTATAAGAGCCACTCACCCCTCAAATCCTCTTTGTAGCAAGCAATACCACGCAGAAGCCCACAAAGATGAGCACAGCATTCTCATGCACATCCCTAAACCACAAGAAATGGAACATGACAAAAGTCTGCATTTCTCTACCACTGCCTAGCTTGAAGCTTGAAAGAGGGACCCACAATTAGCAGACAACAGTAGATACCTCATATGAAGAACAGAGTCAGAGTCACAGGCTGAGGGTGTGCTGGTCACCTACCAACGAGTTCCTGCAGAGCTCTAACAAGTGCTCACCAAACTGAGGGTTTCTATTCCATCCTTTTCTACCCACCTCCCAGTGGCACTGATGATTGTGCCCTTTTCCCTTGAAGTTTCATCTTAACGTAGGTTTCCACAAATATCTTTCTTGATCATTCATTGCTTGTCAGGTGGGTGAACTGAGAGAACCCTCCTTCTTCATGCGGGAGCAGAAAAAGATTTTCCACTGCAGTTTCTCATTTGCCACTAAGCAAAAGCAGCACCTCCAGCTCTGTACTCCTGCTTTTTCTCTGTGGTTCAGCACAAGGGCTCCCACCAATGCCCACCCTGTGGTGCCCTCATACATGTGCCTTGGCAATCCCTCAGGGTCTAGGCACAACCAAATCCCCTGTTTAATCCTCTGCACCCTTCTCTCGGCACCACTGGTCTTGCCCCACAGCCTATGGAACAGTGTCATCTTTGCCCCGCAAGACTATTCAGCGTACCAACCTTGACAGGTTTGGGGTTTTTTTTTCCCTCCATTGGAACCAGGATCTAGCCCTTTTTGCCTGCACAGCCCAAATTCACCAAGGTCAGCTTCACACCGCCCTGCTAACATTACCCCTTTGCTGACTTCCTAACACAGACAGAAGTTTTCTCTTTCTGATGCACTGACAAACTATTTTAACAGTCAGGACTCTGGAGGTGACAGACCACCCTCTGCAGCCACTCCCTTCCGGGGACTGGAAGCCTGGTAGCTTTGGCCAGTAGATTACAGCTGCTCCCAAGAAGGATTAGAAGGCCAAGAGCAACGTATTGAACAGCGGGAACCTCTCCAGCTCCGAGCAGTTTCTAGAGACCACAGTTGCTGCAATGCCACATGAAATCAGCTCCAGCTTGCCTGCAAAACAGGCGGCTGCAAAGAAACTTTTGTCCTTGCCCAGGTCCTGCGTGCAGCTGAGGCACCCTCGGCCCCGACACAAGCCGAACGCCCAGCGCAGCAACTCCCAAGGAGCAAGGGGTCCACCTAGCGCAGTCAGGGCAGTACTGCCGGAACCGCGGGCACCGCAAACCCCGCCACAGGCTTGACGCTGGTGGGGACCCAAAGCCTCATCCTCTGTGTAGCCCCTGGGATGGAGAGGCGGATCCTCTGGAAGGGGACACCACATGCCTGATTCACCTGTGAACGAAGGGAGAACCTGGCTAGGTTGAACAGGCAGGGCACATCTACATTTAGTAAGAACAGTAATCCAAGAGGAAGGCTGCATGCTGAGAGGGGCTGAAGGCAGGCTTTAATTTGGGGAAAACGGCTTTACTACCTCCCCAGCACTGTATTCAAGACCTGGAAGCATAAGGGTAGGGCCAAAACATCCCACACGAGTTTAGCTAAGTCTTTTGATCACATTCTTTTACTTCCTTTTATAAAGTGGGACCGTGCACCATGCAGCTTCTTCCAACAGCAACATAACTACGTAGAACTTGTTGACAGCAGGAGATGAAAATGGAAAGGTCTAAACCAGAAGAGCTGCTGCTCCAAGTCCTATCCATATTCCCTATGTGACAAAGTCAGGGCAGATCACATATGAACTCCTGCAACAACTACAGAAGAAACCAAAACTAGCTGGCTATCGACTCTCCGAGTGCTAGAAATCAATAGGCAGATCAGTGCTGTATGCCTGTACCGTTTAGGTTAGAAAGGCACTTGGGAAGCATGTGGCATGGAGTCCTAAAAAGCTCATGGGTTCCCATAAGCAGTTTCCTTGAGATCAAAGTCATGCAGCACTCCCACACTCACAAGAAAGACTTGAGTCTTGGACAATTTAGTTACAATCAGATAAAACACAGAGAGGGAACAAAAATAGCTTCCCCATCTCTCCTTCCATTCAGAGGCAGGTGAATCACTTTCATGTAAAAGACATCTAGCAGCAGATGAAAAATTACAGAAAACACCTAACCAAAAGGTCATTATACTGGAAACTTCCAGTTTTCACATTCCAAGGGAGCTTCAGAAAGGAAAGGAGCTCTTTCACTCTTTTCATCAAACCAAGCAGGAGTTAGAGTAGAGTGAAGTAAGTTACGGAAAAGAATCTCAGACAACTAAGTCAAAAGGACTTGAGGACCTTTAAGCAAATCTTCCTTTGCCTGTGTCACCTGAACTTCTCTTCCTGCTGGCAAGTCAAGGCAGGAGACACACTATGAAACCCAAGAGTTTGTGTGACCTAAAATTCCAAGTCAGGTTTAGAAACAGCCTAAAATAGCATCCTCCAGCTGTCTATTTTATTTTTATATATATATATATACACACACACAAGCCTTTTTTTTTTTTTAAATAAAAGAAATAAGCTATTAATTCTTCCTAGCTCAGTTTTTTAGGTTCACTTTTTCTGAAAAAGTAAAAACTTTCATTCCAGGGACTAACAGCAAAACCACTGTAGTTTCCTGGGACCGAGAAAAGCCTGCTGGGTAAGCAAATGGCAAAGTATCTGTAAAAGCTCACGGCGAACTGGGCAGTGGGGAGCCAACAACACTGGGAGGTGCACGGGAGATTCCAAGTCCCATTCAGCTGAAAGACAAGGGATAAGCAACAGTGGCCTGAAAGAACCCAGATTCTACCCACACGGGAATGCACACACAGTACCAATAAATCTCAAAGACTTTTTTTTTAGTAAGAACTTTCAATACACACACACCTATATATACAGCCATCTCTTGCAGAGACATTCAGGACAGGGTAGGCAAGTCAGCACCACGTGGGCGGTGGTTCACAAGGCGCTGAAGATGCTCCCATGTGCGTGCTCACAGCTACTTCATGTTTCTGAAGTGAAGGCAAACGAGTCCTGGATACAGGCTCAGTGCAGATACATGCACAGCTGGAGTCATGTGTAACAGCTGTGTTACAGGGTAAGGGAGACGGAGAGGGAGCAGCTGGGAGAAGAAGTAAAAACCCTCTGAAGCCAGGAAGTGTTTGCAAGACGGTGTCCATCCCTGGGAAGTCCAGTCAGAATTTGACAGAGAAGGAAGTCCCACATGAGCAACCCTTTTCTGCCTGGGGGTTGCTCACCACCTGGAAGGAGCTGCGAATCAGCTCCTGGCTGAAGTCCACTACGGAACCTTTCACGAAGGCCAGGCTGTCCGCATCCACAACCACACGGGCACCACCTTGTTCAAACACCCTGCAAAAAATTCAGCATATTTAACCATTAAACCTGCTGCAGACCCAACAGAAAAACACAGCCTGAGCACTTAGCTCACAGGCTCCTTCCCTTCAACATAAGACACTATCATGTTGCACCCCCACCTCTTGTCACCTTTGCAAAGAACAGTCGCACCTGACTCCCACTACACCCCTTTGCCCTTGCCTGTCATCAGGACTGATAACTGTGTCCAAAGAAAACTTGTACTGGAATCCAGAGCAGCCACCTCCTTCCACCTGCAGCCTGAGAAACTCTGAGCCTTCTGCGATCTCCAGCAGCCTCTGCAAAGAAGAGAAGGATTAAAAGACCCGCTGAACAAACTGGCGAGCACTCACACGCCCAGCACAGGCCAGGCAGCTTGGGAATCCCTCCCAGGGGACCGAGCTGCCTCCCGGGGCCCTACCTTCACGCAGCTCTCGCTAA